TGTGTTTTTAAAAAGTCTTTACCAAAGTTATTTTTGTCACTTTACCTGCCATCGCTAGTATCAGTTTGGGTTCTTCACAATGAACTGTGATGCTGCAGTCTGTCTGGGAAATGAATTGCTGTGGAGCTGGATTTTTATCGGTATCATCATCTGCACAGAGAGCCTTCTCCTCATCCTAATATTCCCATTAAACCTAAATATCCTGTTTTATCACATCTCTTTTCACAAGCCCCATTAACAGCCAGTCTACATTTCAAAAGTTTTAAAAAAGAGCATTTTTCGCTTTGTTCCATTTGTATCTTAGTAAAAAATAGCTAATAAATCACTTTTGTAAAGACCATATGCATGTTTCTTCACTGAATGTCTGCCCCTGGTTATTGCTCTGGAGAATAAAAGATCACCCTGCTTTATGTTTAGTTTGACACTCAGAAGAAGACAAAGGGGGAATGATTGCCATCAGGAACAAAGTGCCTGTGACCTTTGAAGAAAGCTTTGATATTCACCTCCTCTTCATTTCTCCTCCTGACCGCTCTCTGCTGTATTTCTCTATCTGTCTTGTTCAGGCTTTCTCTCATAATCCTTCCCTTCATTTTCTCCTCATCATCTCTTTTTTTAAACTTTGTGACCGTCACATGACCACTTTACTTCTTCATTATTCTTATTTCTACCTCCTATTAACCTCCGGATTAACTGTCAAAACATGAGCCCTCAGCTCCCAACTCACTTCAATTCCGGAAATGTATTTCTTTCTGTTTTTTGTTCAGTCTGTTTCAAATTAGGCTTGTGAGAAAATCTGATTTGGCAACCCTGTGCAGCGCCTTGTCGACCACCCGTCTGAACATGTGCCTGCAACGGTGGGATGAGTCAGCCTCGTTACACACCTCAGGAAGCATGCTCTGCCTTCTCCTTTCGCCACTAAACAACGTCAATGGCCTTAGCCCATCTTATATTAGAGAAGCAGCAGGAGACAGGAGACACAAAAGCACTCTCACCCACCCATCTCACTGGGGTGTGACCTTTGGTGACCGGTTGGAGGTAACAAATTGTAGGTAGCCCAGAGCTCAAGAGGGGAAAGAGCCAGATTTCAGGTGGAGGTCGTAGACGCGGACAGGTTCCAATCTATGTCACTCACTCCGGCTCCTTCAAGAACGAGCCAGCTCCGATCGGATCTGAGCCATTCTGTTTGTGACCGATGCTTCACTAGTGGCTGTCAGAATGCCTGAAATTGCTGTGCTTCATTCAACCACATTGTAGTAATGCACCACTTTATATGCCCAGTGACAGCAATGACATTGTACTGAGGGTAAAAGTTATTAATTACATTACTCCGTTGCTGTATATATATATATATATATATATATATATATATATATATATATATATATATATATATATATATATATATATATATATATATATATATATATATATATATATATATATATATTCCCATAACCCTCCACAAGTCCTAAGAAGTCAGCTCAATGACATGAACAAGACCTGGGCAATAAACAGCAACACCCTGCCAGTAATCAGATATCCTGCAGAAATAATAAGCTGGTCAAAGGAAGAAATACGGACCACAGACGTTGAGACACGGAAGCTCCTAACCATGCATGGAGGGTTCCATCCCAAATCCAGCACCCTGAGAGTGTACACTAGCCGTAAGGCATGAGGCCCAGGACCAGTGAGTGTGATAGCCGCTGTCCAGGATGAAACATCTAAGATCCATAAGTACATCAAGGACAAGGCCCCAACAGATGACATGTTCGGTTAATGTCTCAAACACTGGCGAACAGAGGAGGAGATGTTGGAAATACCATCGTGGGAGGACAAACCCTTACATGGGTTGTACCACCGACAGATAACTGAAGTGGCTGACATCAAGAAATCCTTCCAATGGCTAGAAAGAGCTGGTCTGAAGGACAGCACAGGGGCACTCATCATGGCTGTACAGGAACAGGCCCTGAACACCAGAGCAACAGAAGCCAAGATCTACCACACCAGACAAGACCCAAGTGTAGGCTTTGCAGAGAGGCCCCTGAGACTATCCATCACAATACTGCAGGGTGTAAGATGCTGGCAGGGAAAGCATACATGGAACGTCACAACCAAGGCTGGTATCATGTACAGAAACATCTGTGCAGAGTAAGGACTGGAAGTCCGAAGGTCAAAGTGGAAAACACCCCCTAAGGTGGTTGAGAACAAGAGAGCCAAGCTCCTGTGGCACTTCCAGATCCAGACTGACAAAATGGTGATGGCGAACCAACCAGACATTGTGGTGGTGGACAAACAACAGAGGACAGCCATTGTTGTTGATGTGGCAGCATCAAGTGATGGCATCATCAGAAAAAAGGAACACTAGAAATGAGACATACCAGGTCCTCAAAGAAGAACTTCAGAAAGCCTGAGAGTGAAGTCATCGGGGCAGTAACCCCCAAACTGGAGGAATGGCTAAAGCAGATCCCAGGAAAGACATCAGATATCCAGAAAAGTGCAGGTCTAGGAACATCTGCACAGAACCCTCAAACTCTCAGGCCTCTGGTAGGGCACCTGAGATTGGAAGTATGAGACCACCCGCGGAGGGTAAGATGGGAATTTTTTGTTAATGTTTATGTATTTAGCAGAATTGGGGCGTTGCTAATGATCTGCTTGCTAAGCTGAGTCCCATTCTGTCCCGCTCTGAACTTGAGACTGTTCTCCACACCTTCATCTCCTCACGCTTAGACTACTGTAACTCTCTTTTCTCGTGTCCGAGCAGAACCTTCCTGAGCCGTCTACAGGTGGTTCAGAATGCCTGTGCTCGGCCTCTGACCAAGTCCTCCAAACACACCCACATCACCCCGCTTCTACTCCAGCTTCACTGGCTGCCGGTCAACTTCAGGGTTCATTTCAAGATCCTGGTTCTGGTCTATGGGGCCTTACATGGACAAGCACCATCTTACATTGGTGATCTTCTTAGTCCCTACACCCCCAGCAGGTCCCTGAGGTCCAGTGATCAAAGCCTACTGGTTGTGCAGCACCAGGCTAAAGACCAAAGGTGACAGATCATCTGCTGCTGTGGCCCCCAGACTCTGGAACTCTCTCCCCCTGAGCCTGAGATTAGTGGACTCAGTGGTCTCCTTTAAAAAGCAGCTGAAGACTCACTTGTTCAGGCTGGCTTTTGTGTGACCTTCTTCACCTCTCTCTCCTTATTCTGCTCTCCCCACCTATTCCACCTTTCTCAGGATCCACTGATTTCCCTCTTTCCTGTTCACTCTCTCTCTTTCTTAACTTTTTTAATCACAATTGTCTATTTTTTGCTAATTTCAAATATATTTTTAACCATTTTCTAAATGCTTTTTTATATTTTTACATTTTTTGCTTTTGTGAAGCGCCTCGTGATTTTTATCTTGAGAGGCGCTATAGAAATGATACTTTCTTCTTCTTCTTCTTCTTGTGTGTTCAGATTCCAATGTGTGTGTGTGTGTCTGTGTGTGTGTGTGTGTGTGTGTGTGTGTGTGTGTGTGTGTGTGTGTGTGTGTGTGTGTGTGTGTGTGTGTGTGTGTGTGTGCGTGTGTGTGTGTGTGTGTGTGTGTGTGTGTGTGTTTGATGTCTTGCAGGCAGATCTTTAGTCATTATCTGGAGCCAGCTTTGTAATTTGCTCACTTGTTAGCGGCTCGGCTGTGAAGTGTGATGTCTCGGACTCCAAGCTGTCATATTTAATCCAGTCCCAGTTCTATTATTGCAGAGAGACACGATCACACATGCAGCATTTACAGTGATGGATGGCTAACTACTTTAATGTCTCTGAGGCTGCATCACAATGTCAGAAAGCTTCTTGTTTGCAGTGACAGACTCAACATGTCTCTGTGCTGCACCAACAGGTTGCTGATTGGCCTCAGAAAAACACAGTTGTCAGCTAGTGTTGAAAATGTTTGTGTACATTGCAGCTGTACGTTCAAAAGTTCCTTTTTGTATTTTCCTTTCAGTTATTTATTGCCCTGAAACACCGTCGTGGTGTGTGAGGGATTGGATCATCAACTTCACTTCCTGACCCAAAAGCTTCAACATGGCGGGAGTTTTAACCTGAACGGTTTGGATTCAGGTTTGACAAATGAAAGATGGAGGCGCTTTGTCCCTCTATTCGTGTCATTGGTTTTAACTTATACAAGAATTTTTACATTAAATATCTGTGACAATGCAGATGGGTTGAGCCAGTTTAATGTTGCTGCCTGTTATAATTTTTCTTTTTTAATGAAAAGGTGGGTGTTTTTCAAGGGTATTTAACTCCCCCATGAAACAAAGCCAGAATAAATAAATAGCAAAAGATAGATAGCATCATTAATGAGAAGCATCACGATGCATACTGGGTCAGAGGCTGACAAAGAGAGGCAGACAGGGAGCGATGGGCTGTCCTTGTGCTTTGTTCCAGGAGCTAAATTGCTGGCGGCAGGATGGCAGACAGTAGAGCCAAGGCTGTGATGCTGCATGTTGCCCTCATGTATTTGTTGTGACTTTACTCTTGATTAGAGATAACAATTTGGCCAAAGGGAGAGACAGGTGCTGCTGGAATTACACAGCAGGTGTCAATGTAGAAGAAAGAAAGGGGAGTGAAAACGATGAAAGGATTATTGTTAAGGTAACTATGTTTTCTCTTCTTTCTTTTGGCCTGTGTATTGTATCCACTTTGCATGCTCTTCAACTGTTGAAGCTTTCTATCCAATTTACAATCTTTTGACCTTTTATGTTATTCCGTTTCTTTTTATTTGGTGCATGTGTTTGCACCTGCACTACATCTTTTGTCTGCAGCACAACTGTTGCTGTGAACTGCTTTTATATTGCCGCCTTGTTTACTGCTGGCTGTTTCAATCACCAGACTCCACTAACATTCGATCTCTCTGTTTCCCTCCCTCCCTGTTCCCATTTCTCTTCTCTTTTTACCACACTTCCCCATCATTCTCCCATTTCCTCTGCCCATCTACATTTCAATCCCCTTCCCACATCCTTCTGTCTTCTAGCCAACATTATGACAGTGGTTATCCTGTCCCAGCTGGTGCTGCGTCGTCAGAAGTCCTCCTATAACTATCTCCTGGCCCTGGCCGCCGCCGACATTCTTGTGCTGCTCCTCATAGTTTTTGTTGATTTCATCCTGGAGGATTTTATTTTGGCATCACCGCTGCCACCATCGTTAAACAGCATCGTACAGGTTCTGGAGTTCTCCTCCATTCACACCTCCATTTGGATAACAGTGCCTCTCACCATTGACCGCTATGTCGCTGTTTGTCACCCACTTCGTTACCACACGGTCTCCTACCCAGCTCGAACCCGAAGGGTGATATTTGCTGTGTACGCTGGCTGCTTGCTCTCTGCAGCTCCTTATTACTGGTGGCCTGACATATATGGCGACAAAGGAGGTGGGGAAGATAGCGACAGAAGAACAGTGGCCCAGCATGTCCTAGTGTGGGCGCATTGTGCAACCATCTACCTCCTCCCCTGCACTGTTTTCTTCTCCCTTAATGCTATCATTGTCCAGAAACTCCGCAAGCGTCGCAACTGCTTCAGACTGCGTGGATACTCAACAGGGAAGACCACCGCCATTCTCCTAGCCATCACCTCAGTTTTTGCAGTTTTGTGGGCCCCGCGCACCCTCATGATCCTCTACCACTTCTACTCACCTCCACCTGCCTCACAGAGCGCTGGCCGTCTGCTCCACATGCTCACAGATATGGCAAACATGCTTGCATTGCTCAACACTGGCGTCAACTTCTTCCTCTACTGTTTCATTAGCAAGCGTTTCAGGGGCATGGCAGCCAATGTGCTGCGAGCTCTGGTCCACTGTAGGAAGCAGCCGCCACAATTTTATGCCAGCCACAATTTCTCCATCACAAGCAGCCCCTGGATCTCCCCAGCCAACTCCCACTGCATCAAGATGCTGGTGTACCAGTATGATAAAAATGGAAAGCCTATCTGCATCTCTTCTTGAGTCTACAGTCACCACCAGCAGCTCTAGCCCTCAGTCTTTGGGAGCACATTCGAGCTTTGTCCCTGAGGTGACTAGCATTGCTTGTATGGGACTCGTTAGGGCTTGGAAAATGTCAACACGCCCAGAGAGCACAAGTGACAGTTTATCCAGCTGTCAGCGATTATAAAGTGGTGGGCTTACAGGAAGCAACAGTAAGATGCATGGCAGAAAATGACAAAACCTCTCATGTTCAATAACAGTTTTCATAAAGCAGCCAACCGCATCAAATAGATGCTGATTGTTCCCTCAATGCAAAAAGAAGAGTTCTGTTGCGGGTGATGGATGGAGCATACCACCATCATCCACCCGAGATTATGAGCCACTGTCTCTATCATATAAACCGACAAACAACAAGCTGACCTTGGTGAAGCATTAAGTAGTTTAGCCATAGATGCTCCCCGTGATGAAGAGCTTTGAACATCTGTGTTTGTCCGTAGGGACACATTTGCAGAGAGCAGAGATCCAGTCTGATCCAGTCTGACCACTTCTCATGCACAGCCACCGATAATGCGTCTTCTGCCCACAGTCGAAATTGTCTCTAATAAATTAAGAACCTCTATCAGTTCCAGTTTAATATGCAGAGGCGTCTCAAAGGCTCTCATAAAACGAACTCTGTGACTTTCCTCATGTGTGCTCAGCTCTTCTAGAGTAGCTGAGTCCAAGGTCAGAATGGAGAACCAAACAAACTCATCTCGTTTTACAGATTCTGGTAGGATCTCTGCTAATTGTAGACAAAGTTTCTGTTCATGGTAGACTTGACTGTTATCGTACCTTTGCAAAAATCCAAGACAAAAAAAAAAAGGCTGGAGTTGGTGTAGCTCTGAGGCGTCACTAGACTAGTAATCACGTTCCCAATATTAGATTGAGGAAATTTCTGATGTAGAAGATTGTCCTCTATTAACTATTAATGGTACTTGATGACTTGCTGTTAGACATTATTAAGATGAATATAATGAATGTTAACTAAAGATGGCTTTAACCCTTTAGCTTTCTATGACCAGGAAACAGGGAGATGCTGATATACAATGCGATAATACTAAATATGATACGATAAAGAATAAAACTATACAATATGTTTTAAACAATATATGAAATTCATTTTGACATCGGCATACCTTAATAAAATATCCACAAAAAATAGCAATCTTCCTCAAAATTCCCCAACCAGATATAGCACACATTTGTTATTTTTAAGCAATATCCAAAATGATAAGAAAGAAAATTAAAATAAGTGTTTTTCTTCCCTTTGGTTTGTTTACCTTGATCCAAATGGTTTCGTCTTTTCTTGTTTGCATCATTGAATTTGGTTTCAGGGCCACAGTAACACATTTCAGCTCTACTCATTCCTCTGATGGCCGCTGGCATTTCTGTAACATTTTACACCAAAACACAGTCCGATACGTCGAGCCGGTGTCACCGCTGCTCGGTGAAAAAAACAAAAATGAAATCACACTGGGGCATGTCTCACCCTGCCACAGAACACGCTGAGATCAATGCACATTCGTTCTGTAGACACCATGGGGCATTAGCAGGGTTCATCCATCCAGAGGGATTTAAGCTGCACTAAAGGGCAGATTTATGCTAAAACCTGTCTGGAGAAATCAGACACATCTGGCTTTTTTTCTTTCCACTCTTTGAGACATTAAAAATGAGAAGTGTGTCTGTCTTACCTGACAAGGAGGTGTGCTACAAACTTTTGTCTGATACTCAGATGTCAGAGATAATCTGGTGTTTGTCTTTAACCACAACAACAATCGCAGATAAATAGAATGCAGCTAAAATTGGTGAATTTATTATCTTTACCGCTAGAATATAAAGATTCTGAAACAGTCTTTCTGGAAAGCGGAATAGAACAGCGTACCATTATTATTTGAAGGTTCCCTTCAAAATGTGATTTCACAATTGACTGAGAAAGTCATTTGAATACAAGCCGTTGTTGTTGAAATGAAGTTCTGCGGAAGATTCATGAGCAAATAATTTATTAGCTAGATGGATCTTTGTATGACCTCAGTTGTTGTTTGATGATGGTAGAAATCTGCATTTACAGCTTTTTAGTCTGCCTGGCCAGAACTAATCCATCGTGTTCTTACTGGTGTTGTTCAAAAAGCTATTTGCAACGTGTAAGATGTGGATTGTTCACAGCTTCTCCACAAAACGCCACGTAAAAATATCTTAAATATGTCCTAAATATTCCTGTTTGTCTAGAACAGATTTATAGACTTGAAGAGGTTGTAGAAAATGAAATCTAGCTGAACTATGAAGAAAACCTCATATTTCTTTATAGTTAAAAACATGTGCTGGAGAATGGGAATTTATTTATTTATTTATTTATTTATTATACTTTTGTATATTAAGAATAAATGCACCAATATTTATACTTTTGTGCCATCTCTGTTATCAAGGTAAACTGGTGAAGTATAATATTAATAATAATAATAATAATAATAATAATAATAATTATTATTATTATTATTATTATTATTATTATTTAGTATGTGAAATTATTGGGACCACTTTTGGCCATGTGTGAGTTTTGGTTGTAAAAATCTAAATTAATTAAAAAGGAGAAACTGAATGTGCATAATATGTGAAAACACCCACCACAACTTTGAAAATTAAAATAATAAAATCCAGTCAAGTGTGTTGTAAAAATGCATACAATGTGATTCTTTAATGTACAGGTAGAAGCTCAGATATGAAACTAGAAATAATTTAGAAGTGTTGAATATCTGAACAGTCGTTCACACTAACAGCGTCTCCATTTTTCATTTGTGTTGAAACTAAAAGTTGAACCTCTCAGCAGCACATTAACCATGTTATTGCCAAAAGTCACAAAACAGCAGTAGCTCAGGAGGTAGAGCGGGTTGTCCCGTAATCTGAGGGGTGGATCCCGGCTCCCAGTGGAGAATTCTGCTGTTGTGTCCTTGGGCAAGACACTTAACCCACCTTGCCTGCTGGTGGTGGTCGGAGGGACTGATGGCGCCTGCAGCCTCGCCTCTGTCAGTGCTCCCCAGGGCAGCTGTGGCTACATAGTAGCTCATCACCATCAGTGTGTGAATGTGTGTGTGAATGGATGAATGATACACTGTAGTGTAAAGCGCTTTGGAGTCCTCTGACTAAGAAAGGCGCCAAACATGCAGGTCATTTATCATTGTATCATTTAAAATACAAAAAAAAAGTGCAAATGTTGAAAATGTATTTAATTGCAACTCAAAGAAAATGTAATTATAGATCCCACCTGTTACTAACCTAGATGTGGGGATTTCCTTTGCTGTGAATACTCACTGCAGCCACCTGATACTTCAATCTACCACACTTTACCGGCTCCGTCGCTCTCCACTTCTGTTTCTTTGTTCCACACAAATTGATTCTCTCCAGAAACCCAAACTGAATGAGGGATTGGCGATTGCCATCTGTTTCTCACCCCTTTTCTCCTCCCTCTCATCCTTCTTTGCCTGCACTTTATGTCAAAAGCACTTGCTCAAAGTTAATTTCTCAAGTGTCCTCTTTCCTCCTCCCCTGATTATCATGGAGTCTTTCATGCTATGTGTGTACTAATGACTTCACTCTGTGTTTTGTCATCAGAAAATTGATGCACATTAATTGAAGACCAAGTGGGGAACATTGTGGATTTTGTGCATTATTTAATGGAGATGAATGACCAAGGGGGTCAATAACCAATAATCCCTCAGTGAGCTCTTTAACTACCCCCCTCGTCACATCCACCGAATGTAATGACATGAAAATGTGTATTTTGATGCTCATCAATAAAGCGCAATAAGCAGGATTTGATCATTAGAAGAGTACATTTTTTAAAAAGAAATATTTATGCAAATAAATTTTGCTTTGCGACTGCTAAATCTGTGTTGCCATGACATTTATTATCCATGTTTGAACCCAGAGTTTGGTCTATGGTAATGTGACATTTGTGTGGAACTGCACATCAACACCATGGACTGATGCAGACATGCTGGGAAACCACATGCAGGCGTCCTCTCCTTACCAATGTGAGGTTATTGCCAAGAAATATTTCCCATTATGAAGTAAAACCCTGGGATCTACATTTTCTTCAGCCTGATGTTAAAAAGATAGCCAAGCATAAATCAGTCAGAGGGGAAAATTATATTTTCTCATTCTCTGCTCTGCTCTCGCTCTCTCTCTCTCTCTCTCTCTCTCTCTCTCTCTCTCTCTCTCTCTCTGCTCTATTTTGTGTGTGTATGTGTGTATGAGACTAGTCTGAACGAATGCGTGCTCACAAAGTTTGAGTAGGAGCTTTAAGATGATTTGTCCCATTGAATTAGTAATGTATGAAACCAACTCTGTATTTATAATTAACCATGATTCAGCACAGTACAGTACTGATATATAATGAATGTTCAAATGAAGCTTTTAGCAGTTTTGTTGGCATTTTATCAGATTGTGATTTTCTACAGTTACCTTTTCAAGCAGCCTTTTAGTTCCCTGTAGTGGCGTGTTGAGACTCTTATTTTCTTGATTGTACGGGCTTGCATAATTTATTTATTTCTTCCTAATGAATGTATCGGCTTTGTAAAGGGTATGTATTAATGTTCTGTGATAAGCTATTGAAGTATTTGCTCATATATTTTGACAAAAGAAATAAATAAGTTTGTCTAACGGTTGAGATAGAGAGCTGTCTGTGGAGCATCTTTGTCTTTCATCACTGATACACTCTTAACCCCACTTTCAGTTATTTAACACGTCTACACATTTACAGGAACAAACTGATCAATGACATCTCAATATGTAGTGATGTCACTTTTAAGGTAATGTTCATGTACATAACATTATTACAAAATAACACTATAAGCTCTTTGGTTTATTTAAGTGTCTAGCCTGACAAACCGTCCTATAAGTGAATATAGTCTGACCACCACCCATCGATGGCTCTCAGTCGTTATTGCTGTCTTTCAAACTGTCTACGCATGCTATTGGACAACAAACAACGAGACATACCCACCACTATGGATGTCAATCAATGGGGCAGTCTGCTATACACTGTTGAAGAATAGAATAGAATAGAATAGAATAGAATAGAATAGAATAGAATAGAATAGAATAGAATAGAATATGGAGCTAAAGTCCCCTCCCCTTCCAGTCACCTCATGGGTCTCCGGAAGGAAGAAAAAAAATCAATGCAAGTCAACGGGGCTAAAAACGCCATTTTCTAATCCGCTTTGCCTTGCGCCCTAGATCGTACATATGTTGTACTGCATTTTAATTGAAAACTAATGAAGGGTGTTTTAACCACACCAGTCATGTACTTTGAGATTTATCAGCTTGTAAATGTTTGTAATTACCGTGACCACATCGGCACATCGCACATGTAACGTCACCACATAATCTCCTCTTTGAAGTTTGCTGAACATACAGCCATTATCCCTCTGTTTTCTCCGTGTCTGGTTTGATGATGTCACTTTTGTGAAGCGCATTTGTAGTCCTGGACTTATTTTTCCACAAAACTAAAAAAAATCGTTTCCCCCATTGGAAAATAAGTGCATTCTTGGTATCAAAATGTTTCTTTAAAATTTGTGGACATCATATGTGAAATCCATGGCACATAACAAGCGGAATTAGAAAATAGTGTTTTTAGCCTCCTTGACTTGCATTCATTTTTTTTGTTTTTCCAACTTTCAGGCTTGCAAAGGGCTTTAATTTGGTTTTTACTGTAACATGAGGCAAGCAGCAAAAGGTAGTTTGTTATGTCGATCGCTTCAGCGTTTTTAGAGTGCTGTTTTTAGCAGTTAGCTTAGTGTCGCACTGTGGCATTTTTACCGGTAGCTATAGTACACCAGTAATTTGGATTTTAAAGGTATAAAAAATTTGTTACAAGAAGACCCTAGTGTAGAACCCCTGAAAAGGGGTTCTACAAAGGGGTTCAAACAAAAAGAGGGAGGATGAACAAACCATGGATGACAAAGGGGCTGCTGAATGCCTGTAAGAAAAAAAATACATTATATAGATGTTTTTTAAAACTAAGAACAAGTGAAGCAGAAAGGAAATACAAAAAATATAAGAATATATTAGTTTCTATAATCAAAAGACAAAAAAGTAATATTATAGCAATTTATTAGGAGAAAACAAAAATAATATTAGAGCAACTTGGGGAATAATAAATAATGTCATAAAAAGAAATAAAATAGCTTCAACTGTTCCAAATTATTTTGAAAACGGACAGTCTGAAATTAGTGAAACCAGTAAAATAGTAAATGAATTTAACAATTTTTTTTACTAATGTGGGACCTGACTTGGCAAAAAACATTCCTAAAAGAACTAATTATAGTATAGGTGAGAATAACAAAAGCAATAAAAAGAGTAGGGCTGCAACTAACGATTATTTTCATAATCGATTAATCTGACGATTATTTTTTCGATTAATCGGTTTGTTATTGTTTAGCTATTTAACCTATACAAGTGATGAATACATTTCAGTTAAGAAAAAGAAAAACATAAGAGAATTGTGCAGTTGACTGCAATCTATTTTATTGCACATGAACACAGTCAGCGGTGTAAAATGAGCTAAACAGTGCAAAATATCAGTCCAGAATAATTTTTTTGGCATCAAAATATAAGAGGTAAATTCCATAAAAAATAATGTAGAATCTAGAATAGAGTTTGTAAGTGGTATGCATTGCTGGGGGGTGAGTGTCTTGTTCCCCATGTAGTTGTCCATCGTTGCTTGTTTTTTTCTGCATAAGAAACACAAATAGACTGAAATAAGTACACATATAAAATAAAGCAGCACACACACACTACAACACTAAATCAATATTACATTATTTGAATTAATTAACAACATACAGTGATCATTTATTTATTTATTTTTGAGGCGTTTTACAGCGTTAGACAGTAAAACAGCCTTTTAATAGTAAAAAAAAAAGGACTTTCTGAATTTCTCCTGTATTTAAAAATTGAAAGCGTACAACTATGCCGCGTTATATTCATCTGGACACAGCTCATCTGTATATTTTTCTCTGTGGAGTTTTCCTTTTTTGAATGAGGAACATAGTTATGGGTTTGTGCCGTTTTTCTCTTAACAAGAACATTCTTATAAACAGATGTGCTAAATTTGGCAAGCGCATGATACACAACACGGAGGAGATTCACGATTGCATCTAGTCAATCAGAAGTAGAACACCGTAGACTGACGCGGCAAAAAACATGTTTAACATCCACTATAACGAACTCAGCTCCCAAATTTGATCTGCGTTAGTTTGTTTATTTTCTGTTACTTACCGGATTCACCGGACTTTCCTCTGCTGCATCAGCCCCCACGTTTTCGTCTCAAATGTTCACTTAGGGATGTCGTGCTTCCGTCGTGCCATGGTTTTTGCATATTTTGCAGGTCAACCGTCCTTACAAGGCATCTAGTGAAGTGCTCCCATACTCGTGAGGTTTTTGTCTGGGATTTCTCTTGTTTTGTCGCTTCTATTTTTCTTCCGTATTTCTTCTTGTTCCGCCATCTCTCACAGCAAGATGAGCGTCAGTAACGTGATACGTCATGAAAACCGAGGGCACTTATTGGCTCATTTCTTCTTCTACGGCTCCACTGGTAGATCAGTGACTCATTACTGCCACACACTGGCGGCAAATTTAACAGATTGTAACCGATGTCAGATTGTGGTAAAAAATAGACTTTATGCGGTAAAATATGATTATTAAACAACTAATCGATGACTAAAAAAGTTGTTAACTATTTTAATAATCGATTATAATCGATTAAATCGATTAGTTGTTTCAGCTCTAAAAAACAGTATATATTTAAGTCCAGTAACTAGTGATGAAATAAGAAATATTATCAATAAATGCATCAATAAAAGAAGTACTGACTGTGATGGTTTAGACATAACATTAATAAAAAATATAATAGAAAGTATTATTCATCCATTGACTTACATATGTAATTTATCTTTTGCAACGGGGACATTTCCTAACAGGATGAAAATTGCAAAAGTCATACCACTTCATAAAAGTGGAGACAAACATATATTTTCCAACTACAGACCAGTATCTTTATTGTCACAATTAGGGCTGCAGCTATCAAATATTTTTGTAATCGAGTACTCTATCAAATCTTTTATCGATTAATCGAGTACTCTAATAAATTACCCTTTTGTGTTTGTAAACCATTATATCAAATAACATGTTATAAAAAATGAAAGACCTCTTAAAATGTGCACGTGATTGCCAGTTATTCTTCCAGTTTTATTCAAAATTAGTTTTCAAAACTTAAGCACTTCAACTTTACTTCACTGTAAACAAATGACTGTGTAAAAAATAAGTAAACAATCTGAGCGGATTTTCCCCTCGTGCGAGAATCAAACAGCACCAGAACCGCTCACGATGCATGCGCAAACATGGCTCGCCAGCTGTTTCCCTAATAATACACGTCCGTTTTAATTTCTACACTTTTTTTCTACACAATAACAAGGATTGTTGAGAAAGCATGTTTGCCGTGGTTATGTCAAATTACACTGATCACAAAACATTTATTTACTTTCGTTTTCCTCCGCCACTCTCATATACCTGTGTCCTCCTGCAGTAATCCCGAGGGACAACAGACATCAATAACAACACAGTAAAAAGTTGCTACCAGATGCACAGTGTGAGCTGAAACTGAGTGCTACAAACAAAAAAGTCGCATAGCGTCCGCAGAATATATAGCGGACCTCCGAGTCCGCTTGCAGAAGTGACATTTACATGTGGATGTTTCCTGGTCAGGTGCTGCAGCATGGAGGATGTGATGTTGTGGTAGGCTAAATCCATTTTACAGTATTTACACTGGGCTACGTTTTCCGCCTTACGAAGTGAAAAATGGTCCCACACTTTTGACATTTTCTGTCTTTTTCGCACTCCACCGGGGTCCACGTTGTCCACCATGGCTTAAGAGAAAGTTAAGTTATATTCGCTACTCGTGTGTGCATTCAGTGCAGTGTGTATGTGCGTCACTTATTTCGGTCCGTGTGAAAAATGACCCCGGGCGATTGCAAAGCCATGAATTAATTAACATGAATTAAACGAAGCCTCGAGACAGAGAATTTGACTTGAGGCTTTTTTGTACTCGAATTATTCGAGGTACTCAAGGAATCGTTTCAGCCCTAGTCACAATTCTCAAAAATATTAGAAAAATTATATATTGCTAGGTTGGACCGATTCCTGATCAAAGAAGAGATATTAAATGACAGTCAGTATGGTTTTAGAACAAATCATTCAACATCCATGGCATTAATGGAATAAACAGAAGAAATATCGGAAGCCATTGACAATAAACTCATCTCATAAGTATCTTTGATTTAAAAAAAGCATTCGATACAGTGGATCATAAAATTCTTATTAAAAAGCTTAGTAAATATGGCATAACAGGGATGGCCCTAAAATGGATAATAAGTTATCTTACCGATAGGCAGCAATATGTTCAAATAAACAACACAAAATCACATATAAATAACATTACTTGTGGTGTACCACAAGGGTCGGTATTGGGCCCTAAACTATTTATCATTTATATAAATGACATTGTTGAGGTATCCAATATATTAAAATGAACCTTATTTGCAGATGATACAACTTTTTACTATTCAGGAGATAATGTTGAGCAGATGATAGAAGTGATACAAACAGAGATGAAAA